AGTCGCCGAACTTTTTGTCAATTCTCGGAAATCTCACTTCCTATTGCAGTTAGTCTCGAAACTTCGGGATAATAGATGCGGTTTTATTCGCCAAAAATATCACCAAAATGGTGATATTCTAACTTTCTATTAAAATAACTTTTTTTTTGTCAGTGCAAGTTGTTAATGTGTACTGTTAGGCTAAAATAGTGCTTGGTAAACAAATAAAAGAAAAATTAAAGATTTGCTATGCTCTACCAAAATAGAAAAGAAACACATACTTTCATGTAATGCACATTTTTTTTGTTGTCGATCGAAAAACGAAACTCAGTGCGAACCATTACGTTATTTAAAGGCTGTACCAAGAATATGAAAATTTCATACGAAGTCATACGAAGAAAAATGTTTTTTTTATATCTGCGTACCTGTTTTAAGCCATGTTTCAGTTTTTAATTAAAAAAAAGAAACAATTTAAAAATGCTGCTGCAATTGTTCTTGACGCCATGACGTATTTTCGACCACTTCTTGTTCCTCACTGCTAAATTCCATGCTTGTGGAAATGATTCGACTTTTCTTTAAATAAAATGCAATATAAGCTCACAAAAAATAATTTGACATTTTTTTCACAAATTATTTTATTTATTTTTTTACATCATTCATTTTCAATTATACATTATTTATTTTTATGTATTATTTATTTTATATATAATTTATTTATTCTTTTATTTTCCTTACAAAGCATTCACTTGATAATGCAGCTTCAGATATTACTCAAAAGTGTTGATTTAGAGAGTTAAATTTTATTTAATTTTATAACTGTCGTTGAAGAGCCACCGCAATTTTTATGTTTACTATTTCTTATAAGTTTACTATGTTCAATGTTTACTATGTTCAATGTTTACTATGTTATAAGTTTACTATGTTCAATAAGTTTACTATGTTTTGCTATTAATTTATAAGTTTACTATGTTCAATAGGTTTTGATTTTAAGTTGATATCATGACCCGAAATTATTTTTAAAAATTGTTATTTGTGATATTAATGGGTTCTGACGCGTTCTGTCTAGCAATTTTTAATAGAATTATAGATTGTAAGTGGTGCGAAATTTGAAAACCCATTTAAAACTCGGAGAACTGGTAAAATTACGTGTACTTGTTTGGTAATGATAATTTTCGAAAAAAAAATTAAGTATACTTTAAGCAGAACAGGAAATTCTAGTTTTCAATTTTATAGTAGTTATAATTGCCACACATTTAGAAAAAAAACTGAAGAGCAAATTTAGCCGAATAAATGGTTTTTATACCATGCTCTAAGGTAGTGCTCTCCAACCTTTTTATAGCCGTAGAAAGGTTTACGTTTGATGAGTTTACCACGGACCACTGAGGGGGGGAGGACGTTAGTTGTTTATATTCGGTTTTATTTGATAAATTTAATTTAATTGTATTTAAAAATGTCTTCAAAATAAACTGCAATTACATGTGCGATATTGGTGCAATTTTAAGTAACGTCTCTTATGTCTCTGTTAACCTCTTGTCCATGAGAATTTGTGCAAATCTAAAAGAAATACTCCAACTTAAATAAAATGAGAATAATTTAATGTTCCTGATGTACCATTTGATGACTGATACTAGTCCACTGCCGGGGAGTTGGAGACCATTGCTCTAAGCTATAAAATTACCAAATTTCACCACATTTATTACCAAATAACATGGCAAAAAAATGAAATATTATTGTTGTTAATTCTACCAAAAGTTTTACCAAAGCGATTCGGTAAAAATTATCGCGTTTTTTGGTGTTCACATACAGCCAAAAACACGGTAAATTTTAACATGATCTAGTAATTTTAAACCATACCTTTTTTTTAAAAAAAAAAATTATGATTGCAGCAGTGTTTATCATTAAAAGACAACTCTCCCTAGCGTGACCAGTTAGAATGTTATGTACAAATAAAAATAAAACATTTGCTTCCAAATACGTATCTCCAACTCATACAATTTTTTTGGATTATTGCCAGACGTTCTGATTGCTTCTTGTTTTGTCACCACAGGCTTTAATAAGTTGATTTGCTTGAAGACAAGTCAAATTTCTGTTGCTTATTGAATTCAAGGTGTAAAACTTTTTTGAACGTGCATGTAACAAACTTTGTTTACTCTGCTCTCAGAAAAAATCAGTTCAATCTAAAACCAAAATATCGGGCCGCAAATTAACTCCAACCGTAACTGAAAGTTAAATTGAACTGCGTTTCTGGTCCTCGTACAGTAGATTCTTTTTTTTTATTCAAAATGAAAGAGGCAGGGGCAAAAATTTGAGTTAATCAAAATTCGAAATTTCTAAAACTAAAAAATTAGTAGGGGAGAGTCGAGTAGCCCCACTCACTTAAGGAGTATTGCTTATATTTCTGTATAATATTAAGTAATAATCAATATTTTTGTACGTTTCTATTGTTTTAACATCTAATTAAATAATGCAAAGAGAATAAACCAAAAAAAAAAGAATAGTTTAGCTTAAAAAAAATGGAAATTAAAAAAAAAACACGTTTTTCATCTCTTTTGAAAATGTGTCGGGTAGCCCCGCCCAGTTACAAACATTATGCTTTTTGACTGTTTTTTCGGATGTAAATGAAAATGACCAATGTATTGACAATAGATAAACCTCATTTATCATTTTTCGTGAGCATTG